TCTTTAGTTAATTTAAGCTAATTACTTATTTATATATAGTAAGAGAGCTTTACGCCAAGAGTAGGAAACGCTAGGGGGCTGGTAGCTAAGAAGGTGGTTGGGCATATAAGGCTAATTAGCTAAGATAGCTTGGTGGTTACTATTAGTGCAGCGGCTAGTGTGAGCCTATTACTATAGGAACGCATATAAATAGGCAAACTCCCCTACTTACTTTTCTACCTACCCTAACCCTCTTCTTCATCTATTATACTGCTGCGCTGCTGTCGCATAGCTATATTACTATACCTGGTATAATTACCGCCATTTCTTTTATAAATAAGCTCTTACTATCCTCTATTTCTTATCCTCCCTCAACCAAAAAAAAAATGCCACCTCTTTTTGACTTGCCAGTACTGCAATTTCCTGTTCTAGGGTATCGCTATCAATTTGCCTACGGTGGGACTGCTGTGCTTGCATTATCAGACGACGGCAAGAGGGTGCTCAAGTTTCCCTTAACGTTTGAGACTCAGCACTGTAACGCGCAGGTCGCTGCAAGGGCACGATCGCACATGCAAGAGTCGCGCATGATGCTAGAGCGTGAGAAAGAAATATACCAGCATCTTGGCTTACGAGCTGGCATCCTTGCGCCGCTTGAAATCTCGTCTGTTGGCCTCGTCTTTCCATTTTTCAAAAATGGGGACCTACGGGTACATCTGCAGAAGACATGGGGCGAGGTTGGGCAGGATCAGCTAATGCTTTGGGCAGAGGAGGCCGTCGAGCGGATATCCTTTACGCAATCCATGGGTGTATACCAATGCGATATTAGCACGAGGAATTTTCTTGTGGGGGACGACTTATCCCTAGTACTGAATGACTTCTCTGGGTCACGAATTGGGGATAAAGCGGAGCTGGTTGGGCCGGAGACCAGCTATGCGAAAGCGCTACAGGAGGACCAGTATGGTACAGTGCAGGGAAGTATGGAAGGGGAGGTGTTTAGTATTGGGAGTCTATTGTATGAGATTCTCACGGGCCAAAAGCCTTATAATGATCTTGGCAACAGCGAGATTACCGACCTTTTCCAACAGGGAAGCTTTCCTCCTACAAGTACACTAGCTCTAGGTAGTATTATTCGAGATTGTTGGATGGGGCGGTTTTCTAGTGCTGAGGAGGTCAAGGCAGCTCTTGAAGCGGCGAAAATTACAAGAGCATAAGAGGTGTGCGTAGAAGAAGAAAAGAAGATGTTGTGTATATTTTAAGTCCCTAGTATAACGTTAAGAGAAGAAAAACAAAGTCCTTATTTCTCAACTACTAGTGTTGCGCAGTTCTAGCGATCGTGGGGCTTAACATCGCACATCCACACCCTTCCGGTCCCTACACCCATACCGATAAGACTCTCGGAGACAGCGGAACAGCGAGGGCGGTACTCTAAAGGTAGCCAAATTACGTTCTACGAATTGTACGTTATCCATGTTCCATCTGAGCTTAGTGCAGTGACTTGGTATTTGGGGGATTCAAGCTCTTGGGTGGTAGTGGTGATGTTCGATGATAATAGTGGACCAAGGTTGATAACACCAATGTTTGTCAAAAGGCCGGAGCCAGAAGCATTAAAAGACATGGTCTGAAGTGGATAGCCGATATCGAGCGTCTGCAGGCACGCGCCGCTGCCTGCGTCCCAGACCTTGACCGTGCCGTCGGTCGACGCCGACGCCAGCCGCGTCGAGTCGGGAGAGAAGGCCACCGAGGTGAGCTGATCGCTATGGCCCTCGAGCGTCTGCAGACACGCGCTCCAGTTCTCTGTCATCGGCAGCTTTGTAGAGATCCATGGCGGGACTTCCTTCTCGAACAACTTCCGGACTAAACTGAGCCTAGGGCTAAACAACTCCGAATCCAACGTCGTCAATAGCGTCACAAAAGCGTATAAGGGCAAGCTCCTGCTCAGTGGAGAGCTTTTTATTTGTTGATGGGCGAGTCGACTTGTTGTTGCCTCCTCGAACGGCGTAGTGAGTATGTATAGAAAGCATCACTCGGGGTTGCTTCCAAGTGAGCTTTAACTTGGGTTTCGAGCTCGTTCAAAACCTGGGGGAGCTGCCTTGGAGCGTCCTCGTTGGTAGAAAGACTGTTTTGGAGGATATAGCCCATATTGGTCATGACCTGAGCTATGGAGCTCTTCGGCCATATCATGCCGCCAGTCATGAAGGAGTCCTCGATCGTAAGTACCACGTGGATAACTGGATACCCGGGTCGCATGATGAGGGGGTTACCCGGCCTTAGTAGAATTCCTTGCACGGTGCCAGGGGCAGGCTTCTAATCCAGACCGTCTTCTGCGTAGCTTTTCTGAATTGCCTCATCCCATGGACCACAATAAACCAGCCACAATTTCGGCCCGGTCTTGCACTGGACCCAAGTTCCGTTGAGCACATCCATGTGGATACCCAGCAAATGATCCCCTCTCTCCGTACAGGAGGAATTTGAGACACGCTTCCTGATCCACCAATCGGACCGGTTGGACGCTTAGTTTACCGACACCGGTCTCCGTGCTGTGGCCGATGGACCGCTTCGAAAGAACGGATAAGAGGCGGTATCGGAGCGTCGTGATGGCTTCCGGCTCACGGAAAGCTGAACCAGTAATCTCGGCAGATAGACTTAGAACGTTTACCGGATCCTTCCCCTCGGCTTCAATGCGCTGCAGCTCGGTATGCTGTCCTCGCTCAGTCACCCGGGCGAAGAAGTCTTCCAATAGCATGAAACCAGTGAGATCGTCCTCTTCTTTGCTATTTCCTGATGACTGAGTGTATTGTTGATACTCAATAGTGGTGTCCCATCTCTTGCATTGGGATTGGAACACTTCGAAAGTATCGTCAATCTTCCGCCCAGGTCTTGTTGGAACAAGCACCCAGCTGACGCGAGCTGGGAGCTTCTGCCCTGAGCGTCTCATCTCGTGCAGTTGTTCGTCAGTAATAGCGAGCACCGGACTGTCCACTTCCGCATCTGGGGAGTTAATTTCGTAGTCACCACGTAGTAGTCCATTCACGTTGGGGACTCCCAGATATTCGGGGGCCAGTGTTGCGATCGGAGCGAAATTGTCTTAGAGGTTGTTCCCATTACAGACCTGAGATAGCTCTGCGTACCCTTTCGCCAACTTGTCGAAGGACTCTGGCCCCGCCGTCTTCGCGCGGGGAGAACTAAGAAACACAGTAATCTCTTGAAAGATCTTCTGGATGGTGTCCTTGTAAGGCGCCCGCATCTACATTCTCAGCCGCTCGCGCGGGTTGCGTAGCAGCTGAGGGTGGGGCACCTTGTCGTAGAGCTGAGGAGGGTTTACAGTAGCACGTGCTGCTCGGGCTAAAACTCTTGCGGCATCTCGAGCAATACGTCCAACCTTGACCTTGCTGCTCGCGTTCACGCAAAGCTTCCCCCCCCCCGTCTGTTTTGGCGCTCCGGTCCCCTTTCTCTGCAAGGGCCACAATATTGTTTAGTACCGTTATCCTTGGAGCTCACAGGCTGAGTACGGCAATTTATGCAAAGTAATTTTCGGCAATTGCTACACCCAAGTTGAACAGATTTCCGCCCCGGCTTCTTCCCACACGTTTCGCAGTTTGGCAGGTGGTCTTTGTAATGTTTCGTTCGAGGTATCGCATGCGGTTTTAGAGTTCGAGGCATTACGGGGCTGCGAAGGTGAGGTGCGGGTGCTGCCGCGGGATTGGTGGTGCTGGGAATTTTGGCGGTGCTGGGAATTTTGGCGGTGCTGGGAGGTTGGCGGTGCTGGAAATTGGCGGTGCTGGGGGTATTTCCAGCAACCCATTTGAGATTACTGAATAAATTCCATTCCGTTTACCAACTGTGTGTGCTAAAACAAGTGATTGAGCAGAACTCATTCTCTTCTTGTGAAGGGCGCTGACTGTATATACACGTGACCCACACAGCAGCCACGCACGTGACTATTTCAGCCACAGTTCCTGACTAGAGGCTGATAGCTCGGCGATGCGGCAAATGACCGCCTTACCACTTCTTGGCGTAAATGGACCGAAATACCTCTGTCTCTGACCCAAATGCCACTGATTCTGACCCACTAATATTGAGCAGCACCAAGCTAACAGGCGGCTGCACCCTCGCTTTGCGCGGTTGCTCCCTAACTTTTAGGCGGTCGCCCCCTAACTTGTGGGCGGTCGCTCCCCAACTTTTGCGCGATCGCTCCCCAGCTTATGGGCTGTCGCTCCCCAGCAGCTAGGCAGCCGACAGCCGTTGCGCGTCTAATGCGATTTGAGCGTTGTCAACGCGTTCTGACGTGAACAATAAGAAGTCCTACCATCAACACCAGAAAATAACTATATCGGAGTATAAATTTTAGCCTATCTCTTCTTATGTAACATTACAGCTATTGTTCTCTTGTCTAAGAGCGTTGGGTGAGGCGCGAAGCCCACTATGGGAACTGTGGCATTTGGGTCAAAAAAACAGTGGTATTTTGGTCCAATTTCGTTGCACGGCCACATTGGTGGTGGGGTATTGGAAACAGTGGTAGTTGGGGAATTATTACGCTAAGAAGTGGTAAGGCGGTCTTTTGCCGATTTTCTTTGTTTTGGTTCTCAGCTTAGCAACGCTTGGAGCTCAGTCCATGCGTTGCGCCGTTGCCGTAGCGCGAGTGGCTCTGGCGTCATCACAGGCCGTTGCACATATGCGATAGAATAGCGTACGGGGGAGGGGTCGCTACTGAGAGACACTAGCCCGAAGCCACTGCCCGGCAAGCGTTCACAGACGCATCGTGGCGCGAACATGTTCTTCCCGAGCGATAACGTCCAAATCGACTATATCACAGCCGTGATGTTATTAGATACGTGTTCCGGGCACGGCGCAACGCAGCAGCCCTGCTCGGCACAAACATTCTGCCGAATGCCGGTACCTAGCGCCAAGGCACCACATTATAGCCCAGCTGATAGCCACGGCTGTGGGCATTGCTCGTGAATGCTGCCTCGTGAAGCATTAAGGGCCGCTTCTACCATAGATTGCACGTACGTTGCCGCCCACAGCCAACGCAGTCTGTCGTGCAGCTCGTACGCCACTCAGAAAGCCCCAACAAAAATTGATTTCCGACACCCTTTATTCCAATACGATGCCTTACGACATGCCCTTGCATCCCATTCCAACGTTGTCCAGCCTTACTTCTGCTCTAACGTGTTCCATCAGCGAACCCGACATATGTATTGTAATTTATCCGGCACTAGTCGACGTGTGGTTAGCGTTGGGGACAGATCTCATCTTGGGGACAAATCTCAAAATGTTGGGGACAAATCTCGCCAGCCTCCAAACTAATTATCGCTACTAAGCAACCTACGGTCTACCGGTAATGGCTTAGGGCCCAACTCGAAGACAATGGGAGCTGTATCCGCATCTCTTCCTCTCCCCGCCAACGTTGTCTCACTCCAGTGAACAGTCACGTGTAGCAAAGATGAGATATCTTGGAGAAAGAATTCCGAACCAAATTCTATGCCTGCCTTTGCTACTCGACTCGTGGTGAGGGGTGGGGAACCGACAGTTTGGCGGCTCGTATCGGCCAGAGGTCTAGCAGGGCTTGCGCATTTGAGTTTACATAGGTTTTGAACCTTGTCGCTGCGTGACTCGCATCACTCTGCGCTGAGCAGTTGAACACGTCTTCAAATGTTTGCTCTGAGGGGTCAATCGAACAAAAGTAACGTTAGACCATCTCCGTACATCTTTCGTAAACAGTGTAATAAAGCTGAGGGTTATTCTCTGTGCTCCTGTGTAGAACAGACTGAGAACAGATTACTTTTGCCTCCTCGATGTCCATATCGTTGCGTGTAATTGCGATGTGAAAGCATACATGGCTTCCGTCACTAATACGCACAATGCCGATCTCTGGAGAATCTTGTTCTGTCGCAGTTCAATCTACGTTACTATCGATCGTATTCGGACCGAGTGCGCATGGACTCCTGAGGATCGCGACAATCGTTATAATTTAGCTACTGAATCAGGAAACTCTGAATAAGTCAACTCCCCTGACGATCGCCTCACTATGGCTATATAGTTCAGTTAGAATCACAGTAATACAACTTCAGTGAACCTTCAATATTTCCATTGCACGATACCTACGGTCCTAAAACCGTCACATGTTCCAATCCTTCAACGTCGAAAGCGTAAACCTTGCTGTGTTGGTTTAAGACTTCATGCAGGTCCTGGATCATCTGGTAGATCTGATCGCGGAGGCTATTTCAAGTCATGAATTTACTCCTTTTGACAAGCAAGCAAGGAGACAGTACCTTGTCATGGTTTAGTTTCGGGACCAGTAGTGCCACTCCCAAACCTCACTGCTCGGCCTTGTTCCAAGAACTCAGTATGCATGCGCTGATATATGGGAGATACGGTAGTTAGCTCAAGCATTTTAGACTTCGCTGCGCTACACAACTATTGTTTTATTGGAAATGATAACGGAACACCGCGCATAGTGGTGCTACAAGTCCGATGCCGGCTGTCCAGCTCAAAACACACTAACGTAGCTAACCAGATGCTGGCAGAGGACGTTTGGCAAATACTTGATACACCGCAATCTTTGATTGCCGATCTGCACGACACCTTTCCCGATTTGCACACTGTGGAACCATTTTTAAATTGATTCTTGATGGTATTGCAACTTTGTGCAAAATTGAAGCGTTGCACCAGGCTTACGATTTCCGTTCGTTCGAGTCAATCCGTGGTAGAACCCCGATTGCCACGACTTGCTGGGCCATTATATCGAGATTTCACTTCACCTGTAATCGAACAAGTATTACATTCACTGTCGCAATCCTACTGATCTTCGTCAATATCGTGCCGATTTCCCAACCATTTGATCAACTTGGCCATCGTGCCATCGTACAGACCCTGATCGCACGACTTGCTGTATACGTGTTGGAATAGACCCGACAATTTCGTGAATCCTACGTCGCATACGGGACACCTGAATGGATACACCGGCCCACTATACTCCGATTGTAGATCATCGCGATTAAGTAGTTCGGTCCGGAAATCTCTATCAACATATGCGCCCCATTGATAACACATGGCAGCAGACTCGTTCAACTCGATGATGTCAATGTTAGAGGGGCATGTACCGGACTCCAAGTGTAAGATCATCGCAGGATAGGTGGTGAATTTCCGGTAGCAACCATAGCATTCTATCGATAGGTCTAGGTGCACCATTTTATGCTCGGCAAAGTCAACATCGTCCAAGTATCACGCATGTCCTACTTACGTGATTGAGATTGCTCGGGTTTTGGAAATGCTCCTCGCAGGTCCGACAAACGTTCTCTTCTTCCAAATGAGCGAGGTACTCCTGCGACCCAGCAACCCAGGTCGATCCTTCTCCATCGTTACAGCCCTGGCACACAACTCGGTGCTTTGTCTTCAGGTGGTGTTTAAGCCATTTATCCCAGGTCGAAGCATCATACCCACAAACTTCGCAGCGATAATGATTAGAGGCATCATCAAGGTGCTGTTGTAATGCCCGTGGCGAGGGGAAATCCCGGTTGCATCGAGAACAGTACGTCTTCCTACTTGCTTTATTAGAAACACCAGAACAATGATAGGAATTCGAAGGCGTGCATTACCCCATCAGCGCGGGAAGAGGCCTTGTTAAGTTTGCTAGAGATATGGTTGAGAGGTTTGTCCAGCTGTCAAGCGTTGGATGTCTTCCCCGCCGCCGATTCCCGCTACCGGTAAGCGCTGCTACTTCCGATCGTCCAATCGTAAAGTCAAGCGACCAACACCTGACCATGCCTAAGCGCCCGACCTCAACAAGGGCATGATGCGGGCTTCCTCATTGGCGACGCTGTTGGCGGCGATAAGGTTCTCGCTACGATGGAAGGCTACGGGCGCGAAAGTTGCGGCGTTCCGTCGCTATTCCTAGCACAGGGACGGAGTTTTACAAGCTACCCTGGCGTAGCACCTATAACCAAACCGCCAAAGACGTTTGGCTATAGCTGAAATGTATCCTTTGCCTCTGATTATTCATGCGCTCTAGACTTCCTCACACAACCTCTAGGCGAACTTGTGTCTATTGGTCGTCTAGCCCTAGTGCTTTCCCCTGGTTGCAAGTGGCTTTGCTGCCATCTCGTACGCAATGCTATAGTTCCCTGACATCCACAGATCCCACGCTGCATTTATAAGACGTTACATCTATAAGTTCATAGTCTGCTGTATCGGGATATGATTGGTTGGACCTCATGCAAGCCTCCCTTCCCGAGTGCCTTCTTGCTATGCGTTTCAAGTTTGCAGTCTCCTTATTGCACTACTTAAAGCAGACCTCCTCCTTTGTAGAAAGTTATAAGAATTCTGAGTTATTGAACTTGCGACTACTAATTTACACGGACTGCAAAGGCATCCCAAATGCTACGACCCACGCTTGAAAGGCCCGCTTTCCGTCTTACAGTAAAGACCGTATTCCATCAGCGCCGTCCAGACCTTTTCCTAACGACGACCCCGAGCCTGATATCGCAAGTGGCGGCCCGCGGCATCGCCCGCAAAGCATCGAACGATGAGCCGGCCTGGAGCATAACTAGCTATCATGCGGCGGCTACTTTTGAGGCAATGAAGGTATTTTCGGAACTAGCTCTTACGAATTCACTTCTCATTGAAAGTCCAGCTTGTCCCGAGTAATACCACTTAATCATTATCAACCATTATGCGGATTCAACTATTTACGAACTCGACGTCACAATATCGCACTACAAACGCGTTTCTAGATTTGTCACTGACAAGATCTGTAACGGTTGAATAGCCAGATGTAGTTAGCCTACCTGAGATGAGACATCCCTTAAAAGCGGGACGTCTCTGATCTCTAGACGAACAACACAGTCAAACTAGACGCTTTCTCCTCCTGAAGAAACCGCTACAAGATCCATGTGCTATGCCAAGATGACCCTATAGATAAATTCCTAGCGGCGAGATTCGGGGGTATCTCTCAAGGAAAAGAGAAGAAGTTCTGCTTTAAAGTAGCACGATGGTGTGCTCTAGGGAAAATTCGCAGCATCCAGCGCATGAGCAACCCGTACAATGAGCATTCATACGTCGCGAGGATAGAGGTGGGATGCAAGGCAGATTGGGCGGAGAATCATAGAAAGCCATATTGGGGGGGAAGGGAAATTTTCACCGAGCTGCTACATGAAGACATCGTCGTTCGGCTCTGTGAGGGAGGGCTAGGGTGATAGTGGCGAGCTGGATCACCACCACTGCTAATTTAGATGGCATGGTATGTGTGCAACAACGGACTGCTATCAGCCGAAGCTCATGGGTTTGACAAAGCTCTCTATCGCAACTCCGAACCAGCGAACATACACTGCCCCAGCAGATCTGCTTCAAGATTGACTTTCAAGGCTTGCTTTCTATCTGTGAAAGTCGTCATCCTCCTCTTGGTACCGCCCTGCCTCTCTGGCGCTATACGTGATTGGCTTGTTCAGGAGTTACATTTCGTTGCAAGCCTCAGCCGGGCGTGCTGCCCACATCTAACGTTACTTTATCTTCCTGGACTGTGTCAGGGAGGTGCTTGAGTCCTGAAACGCGGAGTGTCGATCGATAATGTCAATCTCGCCTTAGTGGCTATAGTGTTGTCTCTTTGCCTTCCAAGGCAGCATCCTCTACGTAGCCTTCGTCCGACAAGACGTCGTTTTCCCTACGCTAAGCTTCCTTTCTAGGGGGTATTATTTCTTGCCGTTCTTCTACTGTGGTAAGCGACGGTTTATATGGGAATGCGCTAAAGGACCACGCTGTAACGTTACATAGGCGACCCAGCAGAACGTGGAAAATTCTCTAATTAGCGCTGGGCCCGCGATACCGCACAAGTTTACATCGTCCAATATTATGACGCGGCTCAATTGATTAGGCGTATAACGTTAGAAACGTTATGTCGCCGCCACTTGTCTTACGAATGGGTGGCCAGAAAATTCTCGGCCCTCCACCCCTCTTCCCCCTCGCTTGCCAAACGCTTTTCCTTGCATTACCATCGGGATCAGGCGTGGAGGTATTTGCTCTCTTTCCGCTCAGAAATGCTCATTCTGAGTAAGCGCATTTTGTGGCTACACAAGGTACGCCAAGTCCACATTCCTAAAGCACTATAACAATTTTGCAGAAGGGATGGACTTCTTGCCCTTCCGCTTTACATTCGAGAGACGTCTTCTGTACCTCACTACCTGATTGAAGAATCGCCATGGCTACAATCTTTTGCTGCTCGTTCTTTACTCCGTATCGTCCACGGCCACTTGACCATGATGGAAAGTTCACTAAATTCACCCGCTGGAGTACTTCTCAGAAAACATCTGCAGTCGTGGATGACAACCCGTCCTCACTGGTCGATACTGCACCATATGCTGTCCAACTAGTCAGACAAATCAACTTTGGACCGCAAGAATCGGTTCGATACTTCGTTCCTACAACAGGGGACGAATTTGTTGAGACGACTGAGGACAGTCTCATCGAAGCGAATTTCGAGAAATTGAATTCGTATTTGCCCATTCTGTCTTTTAACGAGAGTGTCCTTCTGATTTTTAATACATAGATTCAAAAATTTCAGGTGCTCTTCACACGATAAATTCTTTGAAGTCAATCTGTATCAGAAAAATCCAAGCAACACCCACCACTGGCGATCCAATCTTGCACGACCGTCCCGAGAAATTGACCTGGCGTTTCGACGACAGAATGTGATGACACACCCAAAACTCGAGAACGGATCCTCCGCAACGAAGGGAGAGAATGAACGGAACGTCACCGTTCCGGATGGTAGCGCTTCTGATTCGAAGCCCCAGGGGTCGTTACCACAAATTGAGGTTAGGCCCAGATATAGTATTCCTATTGATGAAACGAGCTAAGGCACTACAGGATGTGAGCAGAGACGTCTTGACAAGGGCCTTGCGATTTGTGCTTCCAAAGTTTGGCCAAATTCCAGGCTCAGACAGCCTGACTTCTTTGTTGTGCCTAGAAATAATCAGCACAAAGCTGAATCTGAACCTTAATTTCGACGAATTATGGAAAGTTGAGATCAATAGCTCGAAGGTAATCCGTTTCCTTGCGGACTGTATTGAGGCAGATTCTGATAGGAAAATTCGGAAAGAAGCTTTGACACGAGTCGAAGATGTCATTGTTTCAGCAATTTGCCGTACTGGCAGAGAGGAAACTGCGAACGGGAAAATCAGGTTGCAAAAAATCGTAGAGAGAGTGCTTGACTCTAGCTGCCAATTGGATTGGGCACCTCTGCACCGAGCAAGCATCTTAAGTGTGTTTGTGTCCGGGCCTAGCGAGAAGCTTCTTGACCTTTGCCGACGGAATGATGATGATCACATGCGGGCAAGACCATGCGAAGAATCCGGAGGGACCGCTGCAGACAAATTGAAGAAGGTATGATTCACAAGGGTTTGCAAACCCGACTCTCAAAGCTGACTAGTTGTGCAAGTTCCACAAGCCATCACAACCGCACGTCCAGCTTAGTCGATATCTTGGTGATTCTGACGAATTCGATGCATCTGATCAGTATGATCTTGCTTTCGACTATGGACGAGCTGATTCCGACTACGAGCCCATGAAGGACCTTACAGCTTGTGATAAAGAATGCGGTTATTGCGGAGAATGTGATTACTAGAGTTGAAGAACTCTTATTAGCTACTGAGATGATGCGACAAACTAGCATTCTTGTACGAATGATGCAACTATGTCTTGCAGCCTCAGATGTGTTGAGAAATAAGAGGAACCCTCAAGGCGGCTGCGCGAGCCGTTAATGGCTTTAAATGAAGATCCCGCTCGATTTGATGGCTGTAAAATTATACATTATTCGTATTTCTATAAAGAAAAATGGTTCCTCAGTCAAGGAGGCTCTCCTAAACTTTTTGCGTCCGACCGCCCTTAGTTACCAAGCCATATCCCAATGGGTTTGTGAACTGCTTTGTCCCTTGTTACATTTCTGACATCGGGTCTGAAGCGGATCCATGCCACAATCTAAACGACATACTCGGCAGTATCCGAACAAGGGATTATTGATGTAGCTTCTTAATAAATCCGTCGCGAAAGCAGGGTTTTCAGATATAGTTTCCTCAAAGCACTCTGCAGTATCAGTGTTATCAAGCATAGTTGGCAAATATTTTCTCACTGCATTGCAAGCAGTTTTCCGTAGCCCCAGGACCGAGGTGGGTGTCGATTCGTAGATAACGGGGATGGAAGACAGAAAATCAAGGGGATCCCAGGCTTTGATACACATCTGCCAATATTTCGCTTCAGCGCTTGCACATACTCCAGCGATGTCGTATTGGTCCCCCAAAGCGAACATTCGCGCATGCAGCTGGAGGTTAGATTGGATCTCTCCCTCAGGCAAATCCCCGTCATAATCCATTTTGTAGAAAAATCTGATCATTCTTTCCAATTGCTCAGATGCTATATGGCTCAGATCGATTACACCTTCGGATTGTTCCTTCACAAGGTCTTGAGCAAGCGAGACATCGATGGAAGAATGAACGTCCTTACTTTGAAACCGCCATCGCAAGCCTTGCGGAAGACTTTGGACTGAGAGCAAACAATAACACGATGAAATGGGAAATTTTCGCAATCATGAGTAAATATTAGGTCCGTAAACTTTCCCTCTTCACGCAATCTGAGCAGTCAGCGATCGCAAGCATTGATGTAATACGGGGTGAGTGTCATACTCTGAAATACTTGACAGCAACCTTTGACTGAGACTTGAAGGCTTCGTCATCGTAGATAGGTCGTTCACTGAGCTAGAGTCACTCATTTTCGAGGGAGTACTGAGCATTTAAAACACCATTACGTTGACTGGAATGGAGCTAGCGGTAACCAGTCTAACTAGAATAGGAAACATGGTTTTCCGGATTGGGTAAATTGGACACAGGAATGGCTGATACGGGTCTAGCTAAGCGGGGCAAGTAGCGGGCTGCGGAGAGCCGTGACATGCTCAATGTCATGTATGTCGCTCTAAACTGCTCTTATAGTGTTCGCAAATAACGTTTTTGCGATAGTTTAGAGGTATGCAAGGTCGTGTTCTGCAAGTATAGCAACTCGTGTGTGAAGGAGCGATGCAGATGTGTCATATTTGGAGACGTTGGGTTGGATAGTGATGGAGCATTGTAACAAAACACAAAGAAGGCCAGGTTACACCAATCAGCTGAGATAGCTTTGAGCTGCCCATCTAACAGAAATAATATTCAATCTGATATTAGTCGCACAAGCAGTCTTCCAGTGGCGCTGAACGAAGGAGACTCGCCCATCTCCGTATCCACGCTGCTATTCCATCACCTGCAATCCGTGTTAGCTCCTCTCGGGTTGCTAAAGCTGGTTGATGACTAACCACTTACAGTTCCTTGGGAGATGGCGGAATGAGAAGGAAAATCCTAGTCACTTGCTTGCCGACAAATACCACTCCTGCTACCTTCACAAAAATTGCACTCATGTGGTGGACCATTTTCCTTGTTGAAAAATTCCTTGCCGTCATTTTGAAATGCTAACAAAGAGTACGTTAGGTTTCGACGCACCGTCAGGGATCGAGTAGCCCAGAGGTCTAGGGCCTGATTAGTGATCCTGTCGAGTTTTTCCATTGGATTTTCCGCGGTTGCTTTAGTAATTTGCTGCGTGCTCTTGTTACGCGCCACCCCGCTTGCAAGTGAGAGGAAAGCGATTTCAAATTGAGGTGTAAGATTATTAAGAATGAAATGAATACCGGTCAGATGAATAGCGTACGTCGGCAGAAACCATGATAAACTTCGCACGTATTGGTTCATTCTTTTGAAAATTGGGATTAGAACGGCTCTCGAGTGTCGTTTGGAACCAATAACCTCTGATCTAAATCCGAGCGAGTAGTTGAACCATTCCTTTTGCTACTCTTCTAACTGGTAGCGAGTGTTTGCCCTTGGTCCTAGGCTTAATTTGGGTAAGCGATGCCTCGGTCGAAAACACAGGATTATTAACATGTCCAAGAATGTTATTACAGACTTGATATGAGTCGACTCTGCTGACTAGTACTTCGGCGTTGGAATAGCAATCTGAACATAGATCTCGTTTAGTGCGTATGGCTCCTGCCTCCTTTCGTGGTTCTATTGGCCGTTCACGCTGCTGCATGCTTCGTAAATTGATGCCAGTAGACCTTTGCGCAATTGGATATCTTTGTCGTGGTAGTTGACTGAAAAGCTTGGATGATTCGCATGAACAATCTTAATATGACTCTAAATCTTTGCTAGCCGCGAATACAGCCGTGCATTGATGGCATTGCCTGCAACCTATCAATGGGTAATTGTCAACTTAATTTGTAAGCTCTGTGGAAGAGTTATGGTTACCTTGCCCATACACAATAAAATGTCGGGCTGCTTAGCCTCGATAGCTGCAATTACAAGGTCATAAAGCTCCTCCTATTGCTCGGGTTCGATACCAGGGTTGTTAGCATAATTTAAGAACGGACGTGAGTCGATAAGGGACACGTGTTTTAACAGATTAAGGTTCCTATAGGATGCGATATAAATGCCTTCATACAGTGCTTGAAGTGTTGAACATTCTACTATCATGGAAGCAGCACCGCGCGACCATGAGTGGTAAGGAAGGGGTTCCTGGAGGAGAACAAATAGCCCTCTATGAGTAAATGGTCCAGCTAGAGTTTTGGTGACGGACACCTTGGTATTAGGAATTATTTCACCTCGGAGACTTCCAGCAAATTTTCGAAGCTCCTTAAAAGCGCGCTCAAAATCGCTAGCGCAACCTGACCCAAGGTGAGTTTTGGTCAGGTTTGTGGTGAGTTGCTCGATCTCAGAGTCGAAGTCGGCCATCATATGGAGAAAAGAAGAACCATCCCAACGTATTTGCTCCGACTGCTAGACACTTGATAATCTGATTGCTACTTATTCATGTATTCACTATAATCTTAGTCTATGATCACATGCATCGATCGCGACCTTCTTTCAATTTAGTGTAGCTGCATGCGGACTGGACGCTGCGCCGCCTTTGTCTTGGTATTGGACCATGTATGCATTCAGTTACCTTTAGTAATTACCCCATAGAGATAACAAAGGCATGGTTACGCGCGTAGACAAGTTCGTCGCGCCAGTGGGCGTTGTCGCTGCTAGTGGCTTATAGTTTTGGGTGTATTTCTCGTAACGTACCTCACGGGCGAGTGCATCTGTCAGATAATCGCGTGATGAGAATCGTCAAGTATCTGATAGAAATGTGATGATTGATTGATTGATTGGGGTCGTGATCGTTTCTACAGATTTTCTTGTTTTCTTGTTGAATGCCCTCCAAGCAAGGGAGAAACCGTTTTAGGAATAGGTACAGGTGCGCCAGCCACCTCGCAGATAACCATATAATCGGACACGGACAAGGATCCTAAATAGGTTATGGGCTAGTATGGGCTACTTATAGGTTATGGGCTAGTATAGGTTACTAATGGGTTATGGGTGCCAGTCTACTAACTATCTAATCTATTTCTTATACGGCAAATTTTATAACATACTTTATATGCGAGCGCGCCATATAAGTAAGCGCGCCACCTCTACCTACTTTAGATAACTTATAACTTAGAAGACTCTATAACACGCGTATATACTATAATAGATAGATAGCTCCTATATTATATTACATCTTGGGCATCTTTCTGGCACGTATGAGAGTTATGGCCAGCCTTACCATAGCATCTATAGTACCTTTTACTTTATCCACTCGTGTATACGTGCGCATTACTCTTATATATCTCCTCTCCTAGCTACTTATTAACGTGTTTTTAAGTAATTAATTCCTCTCTATCTACTTAAGTTAAGGTCCCTTACTTCTAGATCCACTTTCTTTTATACTATCTACACTTTATGGCTACTTTATTGGCTCTCTTAAGGTCGGCAATTTGGCTTTCTTATAAGGTAGCTAAGTAGGCTATTACTTAAGCTCCCTTCTTAAGCTAATTAAGTGCTATAATTATAGATATAGGTAATAAGCTCTTATACCTTTAAACTTAATTATAAATTAAGGTTAATTATACCTCTAGCTTATATATATTACTTAGTATTTTGGCTTCCTATATAGTGGCCTCTAGTAGAGCTAGTGTAGGCGTATATAGTTATATATTAAGCTTTAAGAGTACTATATCTAGGTTATATAGGACTA